AATTTGGCCAGCATGAGAAGGATTTTTGAAAAGCTTCTTTTTAGTTTGAAAGAGTTGAAAAAAAATAAAAAAAAAACAGAACTTGAAAATCATTGTAAAGAAATTGCATTGAAACACAGATTCTGAACCACCATTTCGGTTTCGATATCTTCCATTTTTTTTAATTCTTTTGTTCTGAAATTATAATTGATGAAGTTTATTAGTAAATTCGTTCACTATTAATGGCTAAAAATGTGAATGAAGATGGAGCTCTAGTGACCGACGTTACAAGGGCGTCACACGTGCTGTATGCGAGTGGTGCACGTGCCGGTGTCTTTTGTTATCTGGCTCTGCGTGCGTTAGGGAATGCGTGATAAAAGTCGTGTTATCACGCTTCTACAGTTGCGGTGAACAAATGATACAAAGGTAATAGATTTTCCAGTCGGAAACCACGACCATCTCCTCCTCCCATGCTGACAATTCAAAAACAAGCCCCTCCCTTCAGGATGAACCAAACTAATCCTTTCATGCCTCACCCACCCAATCACCCTCACACTCAAAATCCTACCGTTGGCACAGTAATAACAAACTTGAACTCTCCCTCTACAGACATACAGGATATCACAGATATTATTCCTAAGTCACAAGAACTCCCTCCCATAAACACTACAAACAAAATCCAATCCTTATACGAGTAGGACAAATTAGACGAGGTCCTCCCTCACAACTCACCCCACGCCCACCCTCCCAATCAACCTTCCCACAACATCACAGCCAATGCCAATCCAAATCATAACAGTCCACCATAAACTTATCCCCATAATCATCAACCAAACATCTCCACAACCTCCAATGAGACTTCCAACTCTACTTCAAATACCTCAAAAATCCAACTAGAAACCAACCAAAATTAAAAACAAACTAGAGGCAAGCAAGCCAAAAAGGCCTCTACCCCCAACTCCAAATCACAATGTGCAGCTTGGAACATCCGTGGGTTCAACAGCCCAGACAAAGTGTTATGCTGCAAACAATTAGCCCGTGCCCACAGTCTTGATCTTATCTTCATCTTGGAAGCTAAAATCACTCATACCAACCTCTCCAACCATTGGTTTCTTGCTAACCACCAAATTTTCCCGAAGGAAGCCTCTTGGGACAACTTTATGTACTCCTCCCCTGGCTGCATTTGAGTGAAATGGAACAAGGAAGCTATTAATTTTATCCCTCAACGCATGACTAATCAGTTTATTCATGGCATTATAAATATTGATTCTACTGCTATCTGTGTTGTTATTACTATTTATGCTAGCAATTCTCATACTGAAAGGCAAATTATATGCAGAAATATACAAGATATGGCTGATACTATCAACACTCCTTGGGCAATTATTGGTGACTTTAATTGCTGCCAAAATTTGGGTGATAAAATTGGTGGAACTGCTCTTTCTAACTCTAAACTTGGAGATTTCAATAGTATGGTGTTTAATACTGGGATGCAAGACCTTTCCTCCGTTGGTTACTTCTTCACTTGGCATAACCAACAACAACACAATCCCATACACATTAAACTATATCTCTAGTCAATGTCCATTGGCTTGACACTTTTCCCAACTATTTTTATAGAGTAGAAGACCCTGATTGCTCAGACCATTCTCCTTTAATCCTGGTGAACTCCACTGATAACAAAAGAGGGCATCGTTTCCAATACAAAAACTATTGCACCAAGTTTCCTGATTTATGGAGTTGTCTCATGGAAGTTTTTTATCTTCCCAATAAGAGTAGTCCTTTAAGCTCTTTCAATTTCAAGCTTAAGACTCTTAAGAATATCATGAAGCATAAGACTTGGTCTAATGCCAACTACATTCAAACTGAAATTGATTCTCTCAAGGAGCAACAACACTTAGTGATTACCCAAATTCAAAGCAACCCCATGAATTCCCAATTAAACAATAGTTTAAAATTCATCAACACTAAACTAGCTCACTGTTATATCACTCTTACTAGTTGGATCACCCAAAGAGCCAAGGTGAAATGGCTTACTCAAGAAGAAGATGACTTGAAGTTCCTTTACTCAAAAATCAACATTTCCAAAAATTACAATCGGATCGAGGAAATCTCTAATGAACAAAGAACCTATTGATCTCACTTAGACATTGCTAAGGTCTTCATCCATCACTACAACAAGCTCTTCAATTCTCTTGCACCCAACATTTCGGACCAGCTCCTTATGGATATTCCTACTGGGAATTTGATTCCTAGTTATCTTGTCTCCACACTTACTGCCCCGATCACCATGGAAGAAATTAAAAGCATTATTTTCTCTGGAAAATCAAATTCGGCCCCTAGACCAGATGGATTCACCTTTGAATTCTATAGATCCACTTGGAGTGTCATTCAGCACTAATTGTGCAAAGCTGTTTCATCCTTCTTTAGCTCTGGATACATGCCAAATCAAGTCAAAGCAATAGCTATAGCTCTTATACCTAAACACCCTCATGCATACAATGTTAAGGACTTTAGGCCTATTGCTCTTTGCAATGTTATCTATAAGATTATAGCAAAAATCATTGCTAATAAGATGAAGAATGTGTTGCCTCACATTATTCATCCTAGTTAAGGTGGTTTCATTCAAAAGAGAATTATTTCTAACAATATTCTATTAGCAGCAGATCTTCTTGGAAACTTTAATCTTAAAGCCAAACACAAGTTTTTCTGTGCTAAATTCGATATTACCAAAGCTTTTGACATAGTCTCTAGAGACTTCCTCTACAGAAGGCTTGAAGCAAAAGGTTTCCCGGAACTGTTCATTTCTTGGATTAAGGCCTGCATCTCGGATGTCCACTTCTCTATTTGCATTAATGGGGTGCTTGAAGGCTATTTTAACTCTACATCTGGTATTAGGCAAGGGTGCCCTCTATCTCCATACCTCTTTAGTATCATCATGGATGGTTTATCATCTAAACTTGATTTGACTTCTTCCAATAACACCTTTAAAGGTATTTCGACTGGGAACTACGAGGTTTCCCACCTTATGTTTGCTGATGACCTCCGTGTTTTTGGCACTGCCACCATCTACAATGCTCAAGGTCTTTAAAACCATCCTTAAGGACTTTGCAGCTGTCACTGGTCTCCATGTTAATCCTCACAAAAGCTCCATTTTGATCTCCAAAGAGTCCCCTTATGCTGTGGACATTTGCAACATTCTCAATATCCAACATTCCCACACACCCATTAAATATTTGGGATTGCCTATGTTCTACAAGAAATTGAAAATGATGGATTTCCAACCTTTGTTGCAAAAAATGACTGCACTTTTAGAGGGTTGGAAAGCAAAAACTTTATCATTTGCGGGGAGAATTCAATTCATCAAATTTACCATTTGTAATACCCTTGCTTACTGGATCCGTGGCTCTATCTTACCTAAGGTTGCTGCAAATTGATTAGTCGACTGTGCTCTAGATTCACCTTCTTTGGCAACATTAATCAGAGAAAACTTGCTACGGTGTCCTGGAAAGACACTTGTTGTTCAAAAGAAAATGGGGTACTGGGTATTCCCTCAATTGACTCTTTATACCATAGCTATGCTTGCTCAATTATATGGAGGTTTCTAAATACCAACTCCTTACTCTTTAGTTGGTGGAGAGCTAAATATCTTTAAAAAGCAGTAAGAAAACTATCCCAAAAAAGTTTCAGCCATTTTGTTGTAGATTTTATGGTTAATTCATTTGTTTTATGAAATTTTGGGAACCGATTTTAAAAAATAAAACTACTGCGTTAGAGGAATTTTGACTATTCGATATTTTATGGAATTTTGATTATATACAAATCTAAAAGCATTTTGTTTTCCATCATGAATCATATAATAAACATCTTTATCATTTTTTTATTATTTACAAATGAAAGTCATATGACTTGGTGCATTTAAATAGAATAAAAAAATGGAGTAAAACTTGAGAGCCATTTTAATAAAAATTATGTCTTGATATAATAATCAAAATTTTCGCCAACTAAAAGTGGGTGCTAACTATTAGCAATGCATTACACTGTAAATGCAACTAATCAAACAGCACCATAAAAGAAAATTATAATATAAAGTGAATTGTAATATATCTTTAAATAAATCTTTTATGAATACTCAAAAGAATATTACCATACAAATAATAACAAAGAAATATTTATTCTAAATTAAAATTTATTATAAATTATTTTACATAAAAATAAAATTTGATGAATCATTATATTTTTATTTAAGCATACTTTAGATTAACTTAAATATCTTATTAATTTAAAAATTTTAAGAAAAATCTGAAAAAAAAAACAATTTTCATTTATAGTCATAAAAATATGAGAAAAACTATGAATATTTGTAAATAAACCATAAATTAAAATATTTCACTTTCTACTTAAACACTTATGTATTTTCTTTAAAAATTAGAGTATGCAAAATCCATTTTCCATTTGCGGTATTGAAAATGGAAATCATTGTGGTTAGAATTTTTATTTATTTTTTTATTAAATATTAATAAACTTATGTATCTTCCTATAAATGACCATTCTTTCAAGGTTTGAGGCTTTGAGCTCTACCTCCTATCGATAATTTTGAACAAAATAATCATAAACTACATGTAGAATATAATTGAAGATTACAAATAATAATAAAAAAAAACTAATACAAAATAATCATTGAACAAAAGATTTGAATAGGCCACATAAACTCATGAAATCCCAATCTAAAAAATCAACCTAAGAAAATTAAGATAATCTCATCATAAGCTAACGTAGGGATGTCAATATTTGACACAACCTAAAACCCCACAATGAATTCGACTCGAAAATTTTGGATTAAGGCCAACCCATTTCACAAATGAGTCAGGTTCGAGTTCCAAAATTCAACCCGTTTGATTTTGAACAAATAGGGGTGGAGCCAACTCCAAGGCAAAAAAAATATATCTCTACACTTTTTGCCCCACCTGAAAATTAAGGCTGGGTCCACCCCTGCACTGAAGCTTCGATGACATAGGATATGCAGTTAAACTAAATTACAATATCTGTCATTCAAACTTTCTTCTACAATTATTTTTGACTTGTTTAACTTGTTGCATAGAACTTTCTACTATCCTGACAATTCAAAGAGCAGGACCCATATAACCTCTTATTACACAATATACAGATTCATCTCTCTAATCATCATCATATATGGAGGGTTAAATTCTTTAAATTTAATCATCTGAGAATTAGTACGAGATCCACTCATTCCCAAGTGTTCTTTTTTTGATTAAAGCATGATCGAAGGTAGCCAAAGAAAGCAACTTACTTGCAGTGTGTTTAATAGTCACTAGCGAGGAAGATTGCTCTTTAAAATGCGAATAAGGGAGATGCTGCCGTCTGATCTTGCTTTTACGCTGTCAGTTTTCTTGCGTTTGACCTCCTGCAAATAACATAATTGGTCAAATGAGAGATGCTCATTAACATAAAATGTACGTTCAAAAAGCTCCAATTTGCAAGGAAAAAATGCAGGAAAATTGCATTTTTTCCTAAGAAACGCTTTACGATTTCAGATTTGCAGTTGTATTTCCTACGATTTCATTTAAATATGAGATCTGTAGAAATAAAAAAGGGGAGAACTACTGAGATTTAGATGTATGCCTAGGAATGATTTCTATATGAATATTTCTAAGATTGAATAACAGTTCACTTTCCGGGGAAACTCGCTTTACAATTTTATAGTATACTGAGGGGCGGAACCAACCGTAGTTCTTAGGGGAGCATATTTATAAATAACACATCTACACAATGTGTTTAATTCTTATAGGGGGGCAATAACCTAAAGATCATAGTATATTAATTGTTTTAGAGGGGCAATTATCTAAAGACTCTTATAAAATATAGTAAAAAAAAGGATGGAGGTGGACATATTACCTAAAGATCCACATAAAAAACAATTTTTTTAAATTTTTTTAGGGTGGGAAATTGATCCCCTGGGCACTAGGTGGTTCTGCCCCTGAGCGTAATTGTTTTTTTCTAGCAACTCTAGATGATTGACTTTGATGCACTCATACTATTTTGCTTAAAGAAAAAAATTCTGCCCATATAAGAGATGAATGAAGGTGTGTTAAAAAAATTTATTATTCATGAATAGCTCATATTTTACTCATTAAGAAGTTTGTTTTTAATTCATTTGTCAGATAAGTGAGTTAATATTCAATAATTATTTTGAGCTCGTATACAATGTTCAAAAACAATTTCCAACGAGAGCTTTTTTCAAAAAAGAAAAAAAAAAAAGAACATGAACATACAACAAGCTATTCAAATTTGGCTTCTTTACACCCTATAGTTTGATAGAAGGCCCATAGAATGTGATTGATCCACACAAGATTAAGGGAGAAGAAAAAAAAAATTAGTTTTTTTTTTCATGAATTAATTTAGGGGGTATAGCAGTACTCAGATTTTGGACATTCCAAACGTTCATCAATCTAAATATCAAGGGAACCAATGAATTTCAGCAAGTGAAAGAATAAGAAGCGTACCATGGCATTCTCATCCATGAATAATCCATTGAAGTCCTTAAAATGAATAGTTGACGCTGGCAGCAACATCCTACAGTTTGGAAATCAAAAGTTAGTAAAATGCCACGCATTCTCAATGAATAAATCATTATAACGGTAATTTTGGAAAATCAGTCTATTAGCCTTTTTACATTTACCCAAGAGAAAACATCAAACCATTACAATAGGAACAAATTCAACATCCAAGAGGCATATAGATGGAAACAATGGAGGCAAAAATAGGTAAAAAGGTAAAGCAAACGGACCTTTTAGGTCTTTGGGAATTTAGTGGTCTGAGAGAAGGGTCATCCTCTTCACTTTTTAATGCTTCTGTTGAATGAGATGCGGTATTCTGCTGAACATTCTCATTCAGTGCTATCTTTAGCCCTGATTGCTCCTGAAGCTAACGGAATATGTAATGAATTGATTACATCACTTAAAAAACGACCTTTTCAAATCATGATAAAGGAAGTAGCTCGTTTCATCATATGCAACAAATTGAACGTTACATTGGATTTTTTTTTTCTTTTTAATTCAATCATTGAGTTGTATCGACAAAAATGAAGAATAAATAAAATTCAGTTCATTTGTGACTTCTCTGTTAAAAAGTGTTTGGGAACCTTCTAAAGAAAGAAATGATTGCGGACAAGATGCCAATTTCAAGACAGCCAAGCAAACCACTGCACGTCAATATTTGCATTGGCATCTGGAGTAAGACCAAAAATATTCATGTATGAAAAATTATAATTTATTTAATTATAATTTAAAACATATATTTAAAGTTAATGTTACGTTACTGTTTAAAATGCTGGATAAGTATTATCTTAAGTAACATATTTAATTTAAATTAGATAATTCTTTAATTATTGAATTAATGCTTTCAAGGGGTGTGTTGGAAGGCAGTTAGGTAGTGGGCCTCGCATCTCATCATCTTTCACGTATGAAAACAAATAAAAAGAGTGTGTTGGCTGTGTGGATAAGGGAAAGAAGTTAACAGTTATGCAAGCCAACAGCCTTTTCTCTGTTTTGTTTTCACGCAAGCCAGCAGAGCAAATATTTGGGTGAAGCATTGTAGGAAATGCAGCTATAACACTCTAAAGAAGAATTGAATAGAGCAGAAAATCTTGTAGCAAGCATTTCGGCACAGTGCTTGGAATTACTGTAGAACAGTTCGGTGCAGGGCGTGAATTCCCTGTAGAGAAGTCGACATAGTGCCGCAGGAAATACTGTAGCATGTAGGCGGCATAGTGGAATTTCTGCATATAGAATTCGACACAGTGATTGTTGGGCAGAGTTTTTCGGCAAGGTGCTAGGAAGCGAAATTGGCATTTGGTGTGAAGAAGATCCGGTATATTGTACAGAGAATGGAGAGTAAGATTCTAGCGGGAGAAACAACAGGAAATATAAGTGGAAATGAAGCCTTGGAGCAGAATTTTGTTGTAAAGAAAAATTCTGAATTCAGTAAAAGAAAAATAAAGGTAAAGGAGAAATTCTAATTTCAGTAAAAGAAGAATAAACAGACAACATAAATTTTGGGAAGAAATCTGGAAGGGAATCTTGGCTGCGAGAACAAAGAACAGGGAAGGAAGAATAAGAGGAAAAGAATAGTGAAATAAGAGGTAAGCATTTTTGGTGTATTCATAGTTGTCTTTTAGATTTCTACAAAGTGATAAAAGTTCTAAGGAAATATATCATAATTGTATTTTAGAATTCATCAGATATTTGCAGAAGGAAGTTTTTGAGATAAATTTATGCTGAGCATAAGTTGATGTTATACTTTATTGAATAATAGATTGTGATATTTATAAGATTTGAAAGGCATTGTAGGTGACATACAAGTGAAGAAGGATACCAGATAGAGAAATTGAGGAGTCAGCTTTTGAAGAAAGTAAGTAATGTAAATTTCTAATATAAAAGTATATATTATCATTGTAAATATATACATTGATTTTGAATGACAATTTAGAAAGATAGTCATGAAAGTTGATGATTTTATATTATGCATGTTAACAGTCAAGTTCTCATGTATGATCGACCACTTGCATGTCTCATTAATGCTTAAAATAAGATTTATGATGATTATTTTCATGCTTTTCTAGTTGATAATAAATTGAAAGGAGCTCAGTAAATTTCATGTTGCCAACACTTCATGGTATGTAAATATTAAGAGAAATTCTTGTGGAATTTTAATCATGGCAAGTCAAGTATGAAGTATGAATATGTGAGGTGTACTAAATATCAATTTAAAATAAAGTTTTGCTATAAAATGATATATAACTTACAATTGCAGGTGGGGCAAAAGGGTCTCCATATACACTGCATTGTAAGTGGGGCAAAAGGGGCCCCAAAGACATGATACATGCATAGCAGGTAGGGCAAAAGGGACCCCAAAGACATTATACCTGCATAGCAGGTGGGGCAAAAGGGACCCCTTAAGAGGAAAAAGGGACCTCTATGTAATTCAATGACGATAATACCAGGTTTATCTGGGCTTCATTAAATATTTTTATGAAAGAGTAGCCAAATCTTTTAATGACTAAAATTTATATTTAGTATACATTTCAAAGAAAATAAAGGATAATGCTAAATGAAATTTTATGATGTTATCTCAAGTTCTCTAACTTTTATTTATATTTTCAATATATTGAATTTTATCATGCAAGTTTAATGCTATTTAAATTTATATAACTTATTGAGCCTCATAGCTCACCAGTGCTCTTTTTACTGGCTGTTGTTACAAGAATAAGGAAAAGAAAATATTGTTGCAGATTAATTTACAAGTTATGTTATCTTTTATGCTATTATTTAATTCTATTTATAAGCTTACATTTGAGGTATGTAAACACTTTAGTAATGTATTATTTTGGGATTGTTTTAGTGGCTCTGTAATTGTGTTTGATGTTATTTGGAATTATTATATGCTTCTATAGCAGAGCCCTACATTGGGTACCCATACCCACACCCACCCACGTACCCACCCATCCCAATGGGCATGGGTGGGTATGGGTACGCCCATAGCCTCGTGGGTGGGTATGGGTGGGTACTCAACATCAGAGGAGAACCAATTTATATTACTAATCATCATATACATGCAGTATATTATAATAATCCTTACTTCACAGTGCGCAACACTGAACCGCATCACGACCATGATAAATTTTGATATGTAGCTTGAAAGTTTGCAGTCAGAGAAAATGACAAAAAACCTCAAGGCCATTATTCTATGGCAGACTGCATTCAATAAGCTTGGAAAGTGGGTGGGTGTGGGTGGGTATGACATCCGGAAAGTCACCATAGGTGGGTGTGGGTGGGCAAAGCCCGCCAGCGCAGAGCATGGATACCCAATTGGTACCCAATCAGGACCCCATGTAGGGCTCTGTTCTGTAGTACATGAAATGTTATTGGATGTTTTAGATAAAATTTCAAAGAAATGAAAATTATTAGATGATAGATGATTGAAAAAAATGTTATGTTATTTGAGTGACACTCTACAATACTATTAATAGTACTATGGGGTGTTACATCTAGAGTGCCCCAAAGCCATAGGCCATTGCGCGGATGATAGCTAGAGGATATCAAGCGTAGATATATTTAGCTATAATGTTCGACTTAATCAAGACCATTCATTCCACACAAGGGAGATCAAGTCACAAATATACATACACTATTTGTGATAACTCAAATATGATCAAATCGACCTCCTGTGAACCAGACCAATGCTCATCTCATGCGACAGTATGACAAAAAAAGATTCTTGGCTACAAGTCTATTTGCTCTTGTTAACCTCTGTTATAAAAACAACAAAAAATGCAATATCTCCGTAATCCCTCCAAAAATTCTGCAGGAATCCCGCCGAGACACCGTAGCACGACGCCGTTTACGTCGCCCCCCGAAAATCCCTTGCATACCTCAATTACTGCTCTTTGATGGCTTTAAAAGCCAACCGAATGAATCCTTTGAGAGCCCCTCTTCCATTCACGATCCACTCAGCTCCTCCGAACAACTCCACCCTTGCCTCCTCCCATCTCAAATAGCTGCAGACTCCTCTTCCCCCATATCTCCTCCCGCCGGCTTCTTCACCCGACGCCAGCAGCAGTAGGCGAACTCCACCTTCCCTCTCTGCGATATCTAAAGCCCAACCGAGCCCACACAGCCGAAGAAGCCCTACCCCGATTCCTCTTGACTGTCGTCTCCTCCCTGTGCTAAAGACCGACATTTGCATTCACCTCTTCCAAGCAACCAGAGACTTGATCCAACCCACCTCTATTTCATATCCTAGCTCTCTATTTCTCTATTAATCAACCCAATCAACCCAATCGAGCTATAATGAATAGAAACATTTATGATGTTCAAGAATTCAATCATCATTTGATTTGCAAGCAACCATCAACAAGGATTAAGGACATATGATCTACCCACAAGCAAAGATCAATTAGAGAATGCAACAATGTTCTACAATCAACGTCAAGACACAAACAAATGCATCCAAACCTTCAAGCAATGAATATTGAAATTGACGGTAGTCTTCATGTTAATTCCACAAGAAGACATGGTAGTCCTTCCAAACAATGAAGTCTTTTACTAACATACAAATGAACTCAAGGGATGTGCAATGAATATAATGATATCCCACCAATCAATACTTGTGGACTTGCAGATACATGTAGCAACCAATATGCAAGCAGATAAAACAACCTACCAATCAATGTGCATGAAGAGGTTGGTGGAAAATGCGAACTTCTATGAATCACTGTAGGAGAATTGTTGCATACACAAAGTTCCAACTACGAACAAATGCAAAAAAGAGAGCTGCAAAAGATGTGAGCTCCTATGGGCTATTGTAGAAGACTTCTATACATATAATGTACCACTCACAAGTAAAATATAAATATTGCAAAATACCCCCACACATACACTGTAGCTTGTATATATATAGGTACACTAAAAGGGGTAAAATCAATCATAACACCCGCATGAGCCCTAGCGAGCATGTCATTGGTACACACGTGACGTCTAAGGATGTTGCGCGGGTCAATGAAGTTGAACCCGATCCTCCTAAGCAGGTAGGTAGGAGTTGACAAGGTTCAGCAAATGATTACAAAATGCCCCCAAACACCCGCATGGACCCCGACGAGCGTGTTATTGGTACACACGTGACGTCTAGGAATGCTGCGCAGGTCAATAAAGTTGAACCCGATCCTCCTAAACAGGTAGATAGGAGTTGACAAGGTTCAGCAAATGGTTACAAAATGCCCCCAAACACTCGCATGGGCCACGGCGAGCGTGTTATTGGTACACACGTGACGTCTAGGGATGCTATGCGGGTCGATAAGTGAATTCAAATTTGAATCCGATCATTCTATACGGATCAATAAGAGTCAACAAGATTCGAACCATTAAACA